CAGGGACGCTGCGGGTGGCGCCGCCCGCTCCGCTCGCAGGTTTGGGGATGCATTGATTGCCCTTGGACGCTCAGGTAACTATTTTTTGCGCTAAGGCTTCTTCCCAGCCTGGCCAGCAGTGCTGCAGGCGCTACCGCATTTTCAAGGCAGCGTTTAAACCCCGCTTGGGTTTGTATTGAGGGCATACGCGGCTGTAATGTTCTCACAGGAGAAGTCATCCTGCCCCTCGAACGGCAGCGCTTTCTGAAATGAGAGCGCTGGGAATTGCACGAGTGACGCCAGGCATCACCCTGTCGTTACAGCTTCCATCGTCTCCAGCGTGTGGCCGTGTACGAGGCACCAGCCCCTCTGACTCCACGCTGACCGCGGTGTTGGCCATCGTGAGCCCGTGTGCTGGGGAAAGCCTGAAGCTCCTGTCCACTATCCCGTGTTGTCCTCAAAAGTACAAACCTACCCGGTCCAGTCTCAGTATGTGCTGCAGCAATCCTCTCTGACTGCTAGAAATAAAGTAGCTGGATAAATCTACTGGAAAGATAAAGAATTCAGGTGGTTAAATTGAGTTAAAAGGTCAATGACCATTGAGATGAAGTCTCTTTATAAAAGTTGGGCAGGAAGCAATTCTGTGACCACGAAAATAATTTCGTAGCAAAATAAAGGGAATTTAAAAGCAAAATTAAAGGTAAATGTGGATAGAGCTTTGGAAGTGGTAGACCAATGCACCGCTTTTTTTTATAATGAGATACTTTATCAGGTTACCTTTATTTTAGTTCCAAAATAGTACTTGACATAGAGACTCATATAATTAGTTTTGGTAACAGTTTAAAAAAAAAAGTCACGACCTTTAAAGTGGTGCTGGTACATCTAGTACATATATTAATGACTTATGATAAAGTATTTATGATCAAATGTAAGTTTTAGGCTTTGTAATTAAAGATAATTGCTTTAATGAGATTTTCTGTAATGGTAACATTATATCTAATGCCAATTATTATATGACTTAAAAACCCTCTAGAGAAAATCTTAGAAACCTTAGTGACTGCCACACATCTCATTTTCCATGCATTGGGCTTACATTTGTACCCTCTGTGCCTAATTTCTTGTTTTCTTTAATTGATGTTGTTGCATGAAATTTTTCATTTAGGTCATTTGATACCCTGATAGAGATTGGTTGCCTAGCTATCACCTCTCGGTAGGATGTTGTTAAAGAAGATCTTCATGTTGTCAGGTTAGAGAGCGGATAAGTACATTCCAGACTAGCATGCTGATTGATTTGCATCTTCATAGCTTTTAGGTACGCAGTTGTATTGTGGTATGGTAGAAAGTTGACTCGACCAGCTGTGTGTAATGGTCTGTATTGCCACCTTCTTTGGTTCTTTTTGATATTCCACTATTTTAATTACTGAAATTGCAATTTTTAAAAGCTTCTCTGCAGGTGGAATGCTTCCTATTCCTCAAGTGGCTCAGCAGATCAGCCAGGAGCAAAGCCAACAGCAAAATGGACCAAACTTGTCAAGTTTGCGTAGTTCCTTACCTGCTCCACACAGCAGGAACCCAGCTTTTCTTCAGCAGGTGCAACCAGCAGGCTGTGATAAGAAGCATGTGCTTTTGGTCCCAACTCCATTTCCTGTACAGCAACAGGTATCAGATTTGCATGTTCTGTTGTATGCGGCTTTGAATGGCTGTTTTTTGTGTATTGTAATTGCTGTTGTCATCTATTCTGCGCCATTAAATGGTCTGTCTGAATACTGGGAAGACAGTATCCTCAGAAACAGGGAGGTAACATCTGTCTAGTTAAGAAAGTCTAGACAAGATTAATTTTTGGCACTTCACCACTACTTTCTCTGGGAATTTTACTTCTGTGAAAAAGATACCTGTTTTATTTACGTCATTTGCGATGGCTACCCAACTGTCAGTTTAAATATTCTTGTGCTGGATTTTCATTTTCATTGAATCAGAATAATTTTATGCTTCAAATAAATTTCAAACATATGGAAGGTTGCAGGTGAGGAAGTTACACGGTGCAGCGAGAGGGAACAGTGTGCTAACCTCTCGCTTTGTCCTGGCAGTGTTGTCCTTTGAGTTTGGCTTTGTGGATGACAGAATTTATTGCTCCAACCTGGGGAGAAAGGAGCAAATAATTTCAGTAGGTTTTGCAAAAGACTTTACCAAGCACTAATAATTTGCTTCAGGTAGCTGTTGTATAGCACAGCTGGGTATAAATCTTTCTTTACAGTAAAACTTCCTCTTTATTTGAATTTAGAATGTGCTGTAGATAGCTGTATCTCTCTTTTGGTTTTAATTGGTGGCATAGACATGCCATAGGATTTTTCTTGAAGAAAGAAAAGGAATGAGAGGAATAAGGCAGATTGTCTAGCAAAGTAGAATTTGTTCTCTTAATGAAATCCCAAAAGGAGATTTAATTAAACAGAATCAATTATTTCAACATTTTATGCAGCATATTTAGAACAAGGGGGGGAAAATTGCAATGAGAATTTGTGCTGCTTGTGCTTAATTGCCAGCAGTTGCAGGACACTTACATGGGTTAATAAAAATGCCATTAACTAAATGTATTTATAGATGAACTTTTTAGAGAATTCTGTCCATCTGCCATTTGGCGAGGCATTTCAATTCTGTGAAAACTCTCACTGAATCATCCCTGCTCTTCTGATGAGATATAGAGGCACTGTATTTTAGGAGGAGAAAATAAAGTTCTAAAGACTCACTACCACTGCATCCCAACGTTCTCTACTGATTTTACAGAATACCACTGCATCAGAAAGTCCTTCAGAGACTTTATATAAATCTGCACAAGATGTGTTATTCATTATCTTTTAATAAAGTGCAACTTCAAACAGCATAGAATGTTTCCAAGGACTGAATAATCGTTGCTATTGGTTATTTGTGTAACATTTTTCACTGTGTCTCTGTCTTGTTTTTGTGTTGTGCAGTAGGAAACGTAAGTTTAATTATGTTTACTTGAAGGAAAATGAGATTCTGCAGCAAATAACAGCACTGAGGAAAGAAGGTTTATGGTCCCTGAAACGTCTGCCCAAACTCCAAGAGGCCCCACGGCACAAATCACACCATGATTATCTTTTGGAAGAAATGCAGTGGATGGCAACTGATTACGTTCAAGAAAGAAGATGGAAGATGGTAACTGCCAA